ATGATGTAATAAGAGGCAAATAAAACAATTTCATCCACATCATTTTATATATGTACTTTATTTTTAGTCTCCATCCATCCATCCTATACCTCGACGCGCTAATAAAAAACCGTATTGAAAAAACTGCGTCATAAAAAAAAGGATCCATTTCTTCTATCCTTTCTTCACTCATATCACGCGCTCTATCGCCTACAAAGCATACTACGTTATAATATCAGTCGCGTTATTAATCTGGCACATGCTAGATAATAATTGTGTCATGTAAAGCGTCGTGCACACTCTATCTTTCTCTAATGTGCGAACCCTTGTTATCTACGCATTTTTTTGGGATAGACGCGGGGGCCCGCAATAGCGGCGGTGGCGGCGGCAGCGGCGGTGGCGGTGGCGGCGGCGGATGAAAAACAATAAGAAACGCATTGTTTATGCGGGTCCAACGTATTGTTTATGTGGGTCCTATTACAACGATGCCGCCGGGACTTCCCGCGCCTTCCCCCTCTACCGCGCCTTCCACCGCTCGCGCTCCCCCCGCACCAACGAGTTCCCCCCGCGCCCCGCGCTCCCCTCAGAGGACCTGAGTTAGAACCCGCCTAGTATATCTACTCATGACACTGCGAATACCCTCCGATAGATTTTCTAAGAACTTATTGACTTATCCTCGTATATATATTTGAGCTTAAAAAATGGGATTACTGTCCTTATAACCATTGTACAATGGTTATAACAATAGTAATATCACATTTTTATAACTTAAATTTCTATGTATATTATTCACAAAAATTGGAGGAACACTTAATTTTTGTAAAAAAGAAACAAAATTGAGACTGTTATAATTTCGTTAAAAATAAATGAAATTTGAATTAAAAAAAAAAAGTTTTAAAGCTTAGAATCTCTACTTTCGAAAAGTTACTGTATTTTTTTAATTTCCATGAGTTTAGTAATTTTTACACATAGAAAACTACAAACTGAACGAAATGAGAAATCTTTATCTCACTTTGTGGACAAAAAAATCTGCAAAAATTTTCGACTTTCTCATGTAAAAGCTTGAAGTTTTTTCTACAAAATCCTTTTTTTTTATGTTTCTACGACTTTTTGTTACTGAATTATGGCGGATTAAAAAGTGAGCACTTTGACTTTGATTGTTCATAACTCTGTTAAAAATCACGTACAGCAATTTTAAGAAAAGATTTCTAAAACTCAAATTTTGCTTTATTTGATCGTGTAGTTGCTAAATTTTTTAAAGAAATCCATAAACATGATACAAATGGTTTAAGGTATCATAAAAAAGTTAACAACTTTTTACTTTTTGTATATTTATTCGAAAAACAGTTATGTGGATCATCGACAAAAATTTATTCTTTACGTTTTTTTGTGCTTTTGATTACCCTATCTAAAAAATTTGTCGAATAGCTATAAGATTTCTTTCGTAGTGGCTATTATAATTTTATGATGCAAAACGTACAAAAAATTGGAAAATTGCTTAATTTCAGTGGAAAAAAATAAAAAAATAAAAAATGAAATTTAATTAATGTTTAAAAATCAATTTCCAATGCATCGACGCTACACTGATCTTTACTAAGTATCTGTAAGAATAATTTTGTTTACTTTTTTTCTTCACTGAAATTTGAAAAATATCGCCACTGTTAGCGTTATCTAAAGCGCATAGGGTATACGTCGCAGAAGCTAGCTCTATTAAAGAAAGCACTTTCACCCACGAACATATTTCGATTGAATTGAGAGTGTCGATTTGTTGAACTTGATTTGCATATCCAGGGTTGGGTAGTGCTAAGTTAAAAAGATAATAGTTAAGTTAAAAAGTTAATTAATTTTAACTTAACTTACAATTAGTTACATTTTAGACTCTTAATTTTTTAACTTTATTTAATTATCCGTAACTATTAATTTTTTATTTTATTTTTTTTAAGTTAAGTCTTAGATATAATACGCGGTAATAGCAATAGCTTAAA